AAAGTGAGAACGCTGAAGTTTTCCACATTTATTTTACGAAGCATTTTACTCTTTACGTGCAAAAAATAGAATACCCCGGCCTTGCCCACAAAAATTTACAAGTGATTAAATTTTAGTCTTTCACTTTTTTGAGGTTTTTTGCTTATTTATCATAAGACTATTTACTACAATCTGAATGAAGATATATTATCTGCCTAAAAATGGGTTAATATTACAATGAATATGATAGAGTCCGCCATCTGGTGGATTAATTTTTTCTTAATAATACTAGCGATATGGGTATCAAAAAAAAGAACTTGAAAAGTAGAATGCGAGAAATATAGTGGTGAGCCTGAGAGATTCGAATACGTTTGTTCTGATCTTTTGAATGCAATTTTAAACCCTTCACCACTTGTGATAGAAGAATATATTAGTTTCGTGTAGATGTATGCAAATCCTAGGAGAACTTGAGATAGACCCACCTTTTATTATATGGGTCGATCCAGAATCAGTTTCTTAATCGCTTTGCTACACTGAAGAGTTTTTCCCCGACGACGGAAAATTGAAAATGTTTCGGATCAGACTGCTTTCTCGAACACTAACCCCTTATTTTGAAAAGTCATTACATGAATAACGGTACTAAAAGGACTAGCGTAGGGTATTTAACGATAAATCTCAGCCAACTATGGTATTATTACTTGTTCTTATATATATATATATATATATAGCTTGTGGCAATAAGTAAATGACATTAAATTGTAAATGAAGACAGTAACATTTAATTCTTCCCATGATTCTCATAAAATCCCGTAACGCTTATCGGGATTTTATTTGTTATGAAATGAGATGTCCGATTAGGATTAACGAGATTAATATAAGTTTTAGGAAAAACAGACTTAAACGATTTTTAGTTGTAATAGGTTTTATTATTGCCTTGCAAAATCTTACACAAAAGCAATGACAACAATAAATAAATGAAAAGAAAAACTGTTATTTGCTTAAAAGATTAACAAAATTATCTTAATTTTTTAATTTAGTAAATACATATATATTTAGTTCAAATAATAAAAGCAATAAAATAGTGAAATATAGACTCAAGGATAACATTTATTGCAATTAAATTATGAGCCATAACAATTTTGCTTTTATTTTGCTAATTACAAATAAAGATAACTAACTACGAAAATTAAACTATCTTATGAAATTATTTACCTATAAATATTTATATAATGATATATGAAAACTATTACCAGTGATAACTATTTGAACTGAAACATTGTCAAAAAGGTGAAGGTGTTATGAGAGCACAAGTTCAAATATTTACTAAATCTTTTTTATGATATGATATTTTTATTACACCTACAAGTTAAAGTACAACATGGATCAAACACACTTTTGGCAATAAAACTTTGCTAGCAAATAATACGATCCATATGATGTGTAACGAGATGTTAAGTTTTTTTGCTAAAAGTTGTACTCTTTTTATTGCTGAAAGGACTACATGAGGGGTATGTGACCAAAAGGCAGAGGTACAAATTTCAATTTTATATCAAATGAACAAATTTTGTTAAATTATTTTAGAAAAGATTTCAGTTTGGTTTCGAAAGAAGAACTCAAAACTTTTACTTTTTAAATTAATCATCGATTCTTCTTGTCTCCAAATTCCACTTCACATAACAATGACGGTACATTAAATTTTTGCAAATGTATGCAACCCCCAGAAGCATTTGCGATTGATATAAATTCTCAAAAAAAATTGATGTAAGCATGTCCGTCCATCTGCTGTTTGATACTACTTCATTTCGTTTTGCGCTAAACTTTTTTCATTTTCAGGGCATTTAATCAATGTCCTTCCCCAATCGTATGTTTTCAACGTCTTACCTTAAGCAATATGCGTAAATCTCTTCGAGTTTGCTTAAAAAGTTGCAGACTTGCTCCTTAAATTCACAAGTTTTCTTCACGATTTTGAATCGAATATTACAAAGGCTAATAGGTAGCTATAAACAAAACGAAAAGAAGGTGTTAACAGGATTTTTTTTCCTTTGTTTCATGTAAATATTCATCCCGTGTAGGATATAATCCTACACCATTTGTGGTACAAGGTTGTGTTAAATTTATGCAGATATACGCAATATCCAAAGATAGATCCACCGATCGATCCGGGATAATTTCCTAAATAGATCTAACCTTGTCTGTCCGTCTATCCGTCTTATTTTCTTGCAATTAATCGAAAGATTGAACAAAATAATAACCGAAAAATTGTTATTTGTAAGTAACGAGCACAACGAAGTGAACTGAAAAATCTGACTTAACACGCTTCATAATAAGGTATAGAATATTTAATATATGACATCGAATAACTAATCCTCTATAAATAGGATATGAACAAAAATTTCCCCACTTTACAATCTATATTGTGTGTTGTGCTTTATCGCTTGGCTTTATCGTACCCCAAACCATTTGTGTTACAGCGAATATTAAATTAATGCGCACCTAAGTAGCACCGAGAAAGGTTTAAGATAGACCCATCTTTTTTATACCGATCAGAATCATTTTCTGAATTATTTTCTGAATCGATTTAAGGTTTTCTTTCGGTTTATCCGTCTAATGGCTGGCCACGCATTTTTTGCGTGCAGCCTACAGATCACAAGTTTTTGACAATATTTTTATGGGCTTTAGTACGCTATTGATAATGGTTCGGACCGTGGCAATTTTTACCCCACTCTCCACATAATAACTTAGTTTGAAAAGTCGGTATATGAATTATATTAATCTGTAGGATGATGTAGGGTATTTAATGGTGCACACTGCCCCATCATAGCGTTTTCACGCGGTTTATATAAAACGATTTCATGTAAGCGGTCTCCTCAATATCACATTCTGAATCGATGTAAGTTTGCCTGTCTGTCGGATGTCTGTTCATGTATTTTTATATGTAACCCACAGACTGCAATTTTTGAGATATTTTGATAACATTTGCCACCGCAATGTGTTTTGTCCAACGACAAACTCTACTCACAACGGTTCGGGTTGAACCACTTTCCATGTAAAGCCACATCTTGCGATTGAACATTTGTATTAAGCAAAGTGATGTAGGGTATTTAATGGTTGGCCGTGCCCTCCTATAAAACTTTTTTGCAATTTTTGTGCGACTGCCTATTTTTTGATGATGATTTGGCAAAAATGGACGCTATGCAATCTAAAAAATAAAAGCTCTTATGTGATTACTCTGTTGTCTGTTTGTGTAGTAATTACTCTCTGACCAAGCCGAATTGACTATATTAGATCTTATTCGTGATATTTTCTTCTCCCACAAAAATAATGTGCTCAGCAGGGAGATATTGAGATTCGTGTCTATTTACAACTTTTATGGATTGCAATAAAGTTCCATTGGACTATCTAGGCCTAAACTTCCGTTCAGATGCTCGCAGTGCACTTGCAAAATTGCTAATCACCTAGCTATGTCCTAGCCATCCCACATGATGATGATCACAACGTCTTATCTGCTCCCTTATATGCCCTTATGGGTTATATGCCTCAGGCGAATAATAATAGGAGTTGGAAGGGTAACAGAGGTTTATTTTATGCGTGCAGCGATAGAAGTGTGAAATAATTAAGGTCAGTATTTATGTAAGAGGCCGCAACATCTTCGAATCTAGAAACTGATTTATTGACTAATTTGACTTGTAAATCCTTGGAGGCTTTTGCTTAGGTCAGTCGAAATTGAAAATTTTCTCATACCCTAACCTGTCCATAATTGGAATACGATAGCCTTAGAGCTTAAAAAACCGCAAAAAGTCCTCTCCTTGCAACACTGCATATTGATCTTCACTACGATCTATGATAAGCAACAGTAAAATTAGAATAATGGCTTCACTTTTAATAGAAAGCAAACTGTGCCCACAAAGGGTGCAGGAGTTTTCAAGTACATTCTTATTATGTTTATAAGAATTTTGTATGTTTTTTTTTTGACAATGTAAACCTAGCTTACTTTCTCTAAACTGCAAACAAATGCAACTCTGCTTAAACAAATCAAATTTTGACAATATTAAAGTAAAGGAAATAAAACAAGAGCTGTGATATATGACAGATGGGGGAGAGAAAATGTTAGAAAAAAAAAAAAAAAAAAAATTGCAACAAACAAATTGAGTACAATTAGCAAATAAAGAAGATAGGCATTAAAATCTTTTTAAAAGCGTTATTAAAAATGTGATAAAATAAAACTTAAAATATATACAAAAAATTTCACGCTTAAGCCTTTAAAGGAATTGCAACGAAAAGATATTTAATTTGCAAATGATCAAATAAAAAGCATATAATTCAAAATGAATCGAAATGCATATAAAAGAAAATTGGAACAAATCATAAAGAAAAAAATTTAATATCACTCATACGCTTCCTCGAATTGAAGCTCATATTTAAACGTTATTATAAGAGAGAGCGACTTATATATCGAATTGATTCTCATTCTCCCATTTAAGGTCAGTTGTAATATAATAAATACGAGAAAATTTATAAGCATTACCGCAAACAAAAAAAATAAAAAAAAAATAACTATCTACCTAATCACAGTTATCTATGTTTACTACGATGTATGTTGAGTGAGATTTTTATCCACATTTGAAAAAAAAAAAAAAAAAAAACAAAAAAAAAAAAAGAAAACAGAAAAAGTCAAATCAAATCATAACGAGTTGTGATAAGATTGAGCGTCATGTATATATAAAAATGAACGGAACTTAAATGTATACAAAAAGTCAGACTAACAGATGTGATTTAGATTATCGCCACCTTTACTCTAGTCTGCGTTTAGTTCTCGATTATGCGCGAGTCTGTGCTGAGATACGAATTAAAACGGTACGATAATCAAAAGAGTCTCGCGGTTTGATTATAAAGTGAAAAACCATTAGCATTAGCAAAAGTGTAACGAGTCGAATGAAATGTTATTTTCCTTCCTCTTCTTCTTTTTTTTTCCTTATTGTTTTTTTTTACATTTTTTCTGCTTTGTTCGAAAATTATTGTACAATTGATCCTTTGAAAAAAAAATATTTTAATTAAAACTAAATGCAAAAATAAAAACAAAAACAAAAAAAAAAGAGCGATCACTGACTTTGACCATTATTAGTTCTTTATCTTTTCCTACAAGAGTGAGTATTTAGTGCGTGTCCGTTTAAAGTGAAAGAACAATAAAAAACAACAAAAAAAAAAAACATATGTATATATATATAATATGTATATGTTTTTATAAATGTATATAAAACCACGAGATTTATGCCGTTTAATATCGCTTGCAATTAAGATTTTGTATTTCATTCTTCTTCATTGAAAATTTACTGTAAGATTCTTTGCAAAAAAAAAAAAAAAAAAAAAAAAAA